CCGCAGAGCAGTCTGCGAGAACTCGAGAACTCGCCCGTCTCTGGCTCTGCCGTCCCACCTGTCTCTTGCTTTGCCACACACCACCGTGCGCCGCCTGCCTCCCCCCAGAACGGCAGCGTCTCGCTCTCCCCATGCTGGGGACCCCCCTGTTCCCCATGCTGAGGACACCCCCGCTCCTCCGCCGTCACCCCTGCACAGGGGGTCGTCCGCACGTCCGGCTGTTGCCGCGAACGCGTAAGGTTCCAGGGAGGCCTCGGCCTCCCGCGCCCTCGCCCACTTCGTGGCCCGTACAGCAGCCAGAGCTGCCGGCCACCAGGTCGAGGTGACTCCCCGGCTGCCCTGGGGCCCAGTCTGAAGTGGGGTCTACGGCATCTTTAAACACAAAAACATCTGCCAGGGAACATGGCGGCTTTGCAGCAGCAGCGTCTCATGCAACGTGTGTCCGCGCCTGCCGAGCCGGGAGGGACTGTGAGCACCCCAGGGGGGCAGCAGGACCTTCTCCGGTGCAGGAAGTGCATCTGGGGCGCCTGAGGGCACGGGTGCCCGGGAGAACGCGGGAGCGGTGCCCGAGGCTGCGGCCCACGGCCTCTCGGGCTGGGGGCCTCCGTGGGGTTCCTTCACAGAACCCCACAGGGCCAGGCCCCTTTGCACCCCACCAGCGCAGCCCTCAGAGGGAGCTGGCTTTCCCCCTCACTGGTTTTACAAAGCCACACACTCGAAGCCAGGAAAACAAAGTCCGTTAACGTCTCATTACCGGAGAAACGTTTAGGTCAACGCTGGCGCTGGCGAGCAAAACGCGTTTTCGGAGGGCTGGTGCCGGCGCGGGGGGACGTTCCTGTGCTCGCGGGCGGGAGCCTGGCTCACTGCGGAACTGCAACACGCGCCTCGCTGGCACGTGCCCTGTGGCCAGCGGGACGCCGACCCAGGATGCTGTCCGCCTGGGGCCTGCGGCACCGTCTGAGTGTGGACATGACGCTGTCACCAGAACTGGCTGGACCGCCCGGCCCCTGGGCACTGAGACATTCCACAGGCTTGAAGGAACTTAGCACCAGCTCAAGAAGTCGGGGTGACTGACTGTGGCAGGTGTTTGAACTTTATTTTGATGCATTTTGGGCGACTTTAGAAAAGTCTCGAAATGTTTGCTTTTGAATTTCTTGGTCTTCACATATGATCAGTTCTGCGGGTCGTTTTTTTTTTGTTTGTTTTTTGTTTTTTTTTTTCCATTTGTCTTTATTATGGAGGTGACACTGTCTCACAACCCGGCGACGTGGGGCCACAAGGGGCTGGTCGGCGTGAGTCTCGTTTCATTCACGCGCTTGCTGGGAACACAGGAACCGAGTCTCCCGCGCCGGGGCCGGAGCCGCTGGCGACCCCGCGGGACGGGGACGCTCCGGTCAGGGACACAGAGGAAGGCAGACTGCCCGCCTGTCGGGTGATGATTTCGGAAACATTGGCACGCGCGGACCCACGGCTCTGCCGGGGGTAGAGCGCAGCTGACCACTTTTACAGTCCACTAACACCGAGATGGGAAGGCGGAAGGGTCTGAAACGTTCCCCAGTCTCCTGGCTCCCACACTGTGGGCATCTCCTCCATGTGGAAGAGCCACCGCCGATGCGTCTCTGCGGGATCCGGTGTGTCCGGCCCCGAGTCACACAGAGCCGGGCCGGGCGGGGGTGGGAGGCGGGGAGCGGGCATGCACCCGTGTCCTGCACTAACCACCCAGGCTGAGGCCAGCTCTGTGTCCGTCCTGGGGCTTTGGGGAGCGCTATAATCCACGGGGCAAAGTGAAGGCCCAGTACCGAGCAAGAGCAGCCAACCTGAGGGTTTCTGGACGCCTCCCCTGCTCCAGGAGGAGAGGCCCGGCCCTTCCGGGGGACCCAGGGAGGCGGTCCCTCTGGGCCTGGCCTGCCCCGGGGGACCCAGTGAAGCCATCCCTCTGGGCCCGGCCCTTCTGGGGGACCCAGGGAAGCCATCCCTCTGGGCCCGGCCCGCCCCGGGGGCCCCAGGCAGGCCGTCCCTCTGGGCGTGGCCCGTCCCTCTGGGCCCGGCCTGCCCCGGGGGACCCAGTGAAGCCATCCCTCTGGGCCCGGCCCTTCTGGGGGACCCAGGGAAGCCATCCCTCTGGGCCCGGCCCGCCCCGGGGGCCCCAGGCAGGCCGTCCCTCTGGGCGTGGCCCGTCCCTCTGGGCCCGGCCCACCCGGGCACCTGTCTGTGGCTGTTCTTTCGTTCCCGCACTTTCACCCACAGCCGGCGCCCTCGCCCCCCCGCCCGCGCCCGCTCACCCTGACGTGGGAGGCATTGATGTAGCCCGTGCTGTTCTCCTTAGTGGGGGCCAGCTCCACGCGGTTCTCCTCATAGGGCACCACCTCACGGCTGCGGCTGCGCTCGGCATTCTCGGGCAGCGTGGCCGTGCTGAAGAGGCCGTTGGCCTTTTTCTTTGGGATCTGCTCATACTCCGTGAACACCATCCCCTCCTCCAACTTCTTCTTCAGGGTTCTGAACTGCAACAGAAACTCGTCTTGAGCAACTTCAGTCATTGCAGCCAAAGGCAATGTCCTGGCAGAAATCGAAAACCCCGGGGGTGTCTGGTGCTGTTCAGGGGTGCTGCCCAAATCTTAGCCTACGGAGCCACGGGCGCTTCTCTCTAGTGTCCCGACCATGCCCCTCCTCTTTGCCTTTCAAAACCCAAGTTCCAGGCCCTCCCTGGTGGCGCAGCGGGTTAAAGCGCAGCGCTAGGCATTGTGGAAACTTGGGCTTGCTTTTTTTTTTTTTTCTTTAAAGATTTATTTGTGCATACACGAACTGGGGTGTAGGCCAGGGATGTGGGGGGTGAGAGGACTCCCCAGAGACAGAGCGGGAGCAGAACAGGCAGATGGAGGAAGTCCACTGCTGAGGGGAGCAGCGGGGAGACAGCAGGAGGGGTCAGCTGCGCCCTGGGGGTCACCCCCTGCGTGGCGTTCGGACTCATCGGCCTTAGGGGTGACAGTGGCCTAACCCTAGGCCCCGGGGGAGGGCCCCGTTCGGGCAGGTATCACGCAGCTCTAACACAGACCGGGCCTGGCCGGCCTCCCAGGGAGCACGGACTCAGCCCCCGAGCCCAGGCCGGCGTGTCCGGGCACGGAGCGGGCGCTGCATCGGCGGGCCACAGGGCGAGTCACCTTACCCGCTCGTCCGTGGGCACCCGGGCGGCTTCCACGCGGCTCTCTTCGCAGCCCGAGACCCGAGCCACCGGGAGGCCGTTGAGCGCGGCCAGCGTCAACGGTCTCTTCTGAGCCTCCAGTCCCGCCACTTTCTCCTTCTCCAGGTTCTGGCGGCAAGAGAAGGCACGTGCTCACGGCTGCCGGTCCCTCATCCCCCCAGTCTGCAGCCCCGCAGCCCAGGAATGCAGACCCGCGCCCCACAGGCGGGGGGGACGTGGACACAGACTCCCCGCTGCACCCCAAGAATGCAAGCCCCAAGCTTGTCATGCCGCAGAAACTGCCGTCTGGGGGGAGGGGGCCTCGGGACACCACAATGGGGCAGATTTTGGGGGGAACCTGAGCCCCTCCCGGAGGTGGGTCTTTTGCGGGTTGGAAAGGGGGAAGCTGTTTCTGTGTGGCCCAGAGAGTCAGATGCGTCCCCGGGGCACAGACACCTCACGGTTCTGTTCTGGGGGCGACAGCGAGGCGTGTCCACCCCAACAGGGAGTGGGTCCTCGGGTGTCCGCCCCAAAGGGAGCGCTGCTGTGGTTGAGCCCCAAGGTCACCCCGCTAAGCCCTGCCCTCTCCCCCCAGCCCGATCCGGGAGATTTGGGTTTGAGTGCAGAGGGTTCTGCTTGCTGACCCTCAGCTCGTTTCACGAGACTGCTCCTCGTCAGCTCTCATGGGAATGTTTCGGTGTGACCCCAAATTTGAATAAGCAGCGATTTTGAGCCCTCACCCCACTCCCACCCCAAAATCCACCTGCTGCTTCTGCCCACCTGCTCTACAAGGTGACCCGACCGGGCCTTGGGCCAAAGGCGACTCACCTGACCTGCCTGGGGTCACCAAAACCTCAGTGCAAAAGTCTCTCTCTTAGCGTCTCTTACCCCAGCAACTCACTTCCAGAGAGAAAATAAGCGTTGCAAGGACCCGATTAGTCCTTTTCTCCTCCCTGCTCTGGCTCTGGGGGAGGGGGCCCCCAGCAGTGAGGTGTCACCCCGACAGCGGGAGAACCGAGCCCCCAGCCAACAGACAAGGGCCCCGGGCAGCGGCGAGCCGGGGAGCCCCGCGGCCCCTGTCCGCAGCCCCGCGTGGCTGTGTCAGGGTTTCTCGCTGCAGACAGCCCCCCGCATCCCAGCGGCCGGATCCGCCGTGCGGGCGGGGAGGGGCCGTGTCTGGGAATCTCTCGCAGTGCTGCGCGCAAGGTCCTGTCACCACCCTGCCTGGGCCGCGGCTTCCTGGGCTCAGCGAGGCCTCCTGACCCCGAGGGGACGGGCTGCAGCCCGCGCGGCCTCGGCGCCCCGAAACACTTGGGGTGCAGCTGGAAGAGGCGGCGAGCAGGGCTGCCCGTGTTGGCGCTCGGCTGAGAGGGAGAGGCAGGCTGGGTCTGTGCTGCCGGCCTAGCGGGTGGGGTGGGAGGGATGTGGACGGGGTTAACGCCGCCGGCTCCATGCAGGAGCAAAGTGGGGTACAGCCAGGTGTGCAGAAATAGAACTGTCTGCCTGGCCGGGGGTGCTCGGCTGATGGCCTCGACGCCGAGTTTCTGTACC